CCAAGCGAAGCTTTAGTTGAGGTCGTACAGTATGAAATTTGTATTTTGTGTTTCAAAGTAGCATTATTTTGTAATAGTATGACATTTCGGGAAGCTTTTTTGCGTTCAAAAAACTTTCTCACTCTTTGAGATCTAGGTCCTTTATTGCGGATCCAATTGCTTAGTTTCCTAATAGGCGACTTGCAGAAATTCGAGAGGTTTACGAGTATGAGTTCCATCTGCTTCTGCAATACAACTGCTCGTGCGGACCTTGCGTTCGATGAAAGATGGGAAGACCGAGACCCGTTGATTTAAGATGTTTGAACAGGGATATTTTTTGATAGAGAAAACGAGTCTTGTGGAAGATCCCCCACAATACTGAGAAGTATAGTAAAAGACATACAACACGTTCAAACAAACACTACGATTGAAGTGAGAAATGAAACAGTAAATTTATACCTTAGAACTTTCGAACAGCGAAATAAATAAGTCTTCATACAAATGGCGGAAGGTCGCAAACAATAATGGCGTATACTTCAATTGAAGCTTGAAGAATTGAACTTCACACAGTTGATGGTTAGAAGAAGAAGAAACGAAAAGTCAATTACCAATTTTTGCTCCCCGTGCATTATTTACCTATTCAACGTCCATCTTCGATCATTTGCTTATTAAGTGACGATTTCTCGCGCATCATTCGTCTTACCAATGCCATGTTTACTTCTAGAATATGCTAGTCAACGTGCAGACTTATGCCAGTAAGTCATTTTCATAATGCTCGCCACCGAATAGCTAGCAATGATGACGTCACGGCATCATGATGACTGTGGCATTCGATAGAGGGCATCGTCTCAGTTAACTGTAATATTTGTGGTGAATCTATAATCGTGACAAGTGTCTAGCCGTGACATGTCGATCTATATTAGCCAATTAACAAGACAAACCTCAATATCGTTCGTCATCTACGTATGCATTGCACAGTCCCGTGCGCCATAGTGGCCATTGTTGGCTCCGAAAGCGTTCTTGTCCCCAAGATGTAATTTCACGTACCGTTTGTTTATATGTAGTCACTGTGGGATAATACCGCCAAGCTGAGGGTAAACGCTCAGTGGAGACAAATGTCCAACCCGAGTACCAGTGGCGCGCTCTCAGTAGCAGCGGGCGCAACTTCAGGCCACCGCAAATTAGCCGGCTATCGAAGGGGATGTTTGTTGCTAACAATTGTGTAGGCAAATGATCATTCTTTGTTTAACTTGGTTCTTCATTATCGTGCACCTAGAGAAATGCTCTACGTATGGCCATCGCTAATATGTTCCGATAAGCCAAGATGTAAATAAATAGTCAAAGCCTACAGAACTGCTCTCGAGCTAGCTTTTATTCTGCCACCCATTCATAGAGCAACTATGGGCGTAATACGAAGGTTTAGTTCGGTCAGTAGGATGCTGGTTAGAAATAAAGAAGCTGCTGGTTATAACGCCAGCTCACAAGTTCATAATTTAACTAGTAGTAGTTATTGTTGCTTTATTGGGTTCAGTCCAGACCAAACTGGGCTTGGCAGTGTCCTGCTTTCGTCACACCCTTCTAGAGTCGCCATTTCCGCCATAGAAGGATCCAGCCGCTCAACAAGCTGATTTCTTTAGCTCAGATCGGACGCGATGTTCAAATCGTTGTTGCGTACCTGCTCGATACTAATAGTCGCCGTTACAGAACGCTTCTAAATGTAGTATTCTCCTTTGTATTGGTTCTCTTAGGCACTTGCTTTGTCGTGGCCTTTAACGTAACCGCATCGAATGAATAAATAACAATGAAAATTACATATAAATTCAATTAGTACGGTAAATTTTAGTTAAGCTACAAATCACACTTAATGCCACCCGTAGCATACTTGCGGCCAAATCTCAATGGCGGTTTGCCTCTTGACATCATTTTTGCTAAAATAGTTCAGCCTTGAACCTTCGCGCCATATACCCCCACCAAATTCAGCATTGTAATCACGGAGCCAAAGCGCTAGGTACTGCGATGAGCTAAATTGTTATCCTGGGGTTTTGAGCGTTTCACGTTCAGCTAAGAATTCAACTTATTTTTATAGTTGAATTTTAAGTATTTTATATTCATTGAAATGATCGTAGCCTTGTGCCATTGCTTCGTCACCATACAGCTCATCTTAAGCGCTTATTTCACGTTGCGGAGCCAGGGTGTGACGATCATTCGTGTATCTTGCAACTAAAACGTAGCTTTCTGAACTACGAGTGTTAAATATATTTAGATTATTTGCCGGATAAATATCTCGCGAATAGTCACCGTCAATTTTATAAAGTATATGGCTATAGTATTATATTGTACGGCATAAATAGGCCACGCAGTTAAAGTAGTTATCGAAGGTGGAAAATAGCCAACCTTGTTGTCATCTCTGAAATAAAGGGAATTATGATCTTCGGAAGAACACAAATGCCAACTAAGGCAATGGCTCTAATGAAAATTTATGACCTGTGAATGACAAACAAGATCGATGATCTGACATTCCGCTTGAGCAGAGGGAAACACCAGAGAGATCATTATAGCTTTTTGAAGACTGCCGTTTTTTCCCACTGTTCAAGTTATCTGTTCGAAACAAGTATGGAACTATGCCACCGAAACGCTCGAGGAACTGCGAAACCTGTATCATAAAGGGATTCTTTTTTGGTTGGAAAAATCTGTTCATATTCATAATTGCAAGGAAAAATCTTCCTGCCTGAACGATCTAATTTAGCGTTCATAGCCAACCTAAACCAGGAAAATAACGTTAATTCTTCTTGCTGTGTTACAATGAAAAAACGGCATAAAGCAGTAATTGCAGAGTAATTTAACCAGCCATCTGTCAGACAGATGATCGGATTAGGGCGAATCTCTCCAACCTTCTAACCCATCTGCAGCGAAATGAATCGATAAAGCAGGGCTCTGTCAATATTTAATTTTTCATACAAACAAATATACAAGATACTGGTTTGCTTAAAAGATCCTATTCTCCGTAAAATCAGCTACAACACATGAACTAAGTAACCTTAAAGCCTGCAAAATTTATTGAAAACCGAAAAATGGTAAACGGTGAAATTCGGCCTCAGCCAAGGTGTGTTTACATTAACATAAATAATAAAGGGTATTTTTTGACGATCCATATACTAATCTATCCCACCATGTCTAGAATTCGTCAAACAGAATTTACTTTATTTCGGCTAAACAGGACCCGGCAAGGTTTGATTGGTGCGTGAAGGCTTGCACGATACTTAACGCATCTCGATTTACAGTGACTGCCCGATGGTTAGTTTACATTCACTGCAATGAGCTTTAATTCAACTTGAGAAATGTTTTTCTCTTTGTTCAGTCCCTCTGATGTGAGTGGAGCTAAAGAAACACTATAAATAAACCTTTATAGATTACAAGCATACTATAATAATTGTTTAAATTTAGTCGAGAGCCGATTCATTAGCATTAAAGGAATAGTTGAAAAGAAAAAGGCTATTTTTACTATAGGATGCGAGAGAATATGAAAAGTATAGCTCGGAAGCGCCTGAATAGTAGATAGAAGTGTCTATTTATTACACTGATATACAGGCGTACTCAAGTGACCATTGCACGGTGGATCGAAACTTTGAAGTAAAAGGAACAAGTTGTTTCTTTTATTTTGAGTTCGACGATGACACCCAACTACCTAATGATACCTATGAATGAAAACAGTAGCTGTGCGAGCAGAATTAGCTCAACTTAGCTAAGTTTAAGCTTAGTTAAATTCAGAAAACCTTATGTAATGCAAGTTATGAACAGCTGTTGCCATCTGACTGAGTCAATCAATAACGTGTGCTAAAACCGTATGTCCACTTCCTAACTAAACAAAACATCACGGTTTTTTTGTGCTCCCTTTCCAATCCTGGAGTGCTTAGTACTTTCGCTGATTCTCGAATTCTGAGTTTTTGAGGGATGTAAAACAATCGAAAGCTATGTTTCGTCTCAAGATACACCAAACTTTTTTTTGTAATCAAATAATACTGAGGGATTCTCCTTTCAAGAAAACCCAAATACATTACTTATTTGCTCAAGTGCTTTTAACATTTTCAAACGTCAAAAAAAGTCACCTCGGGGCAGATTCTATAGGTTAGGTTTGTTACAGACGACTTGGAAAGGTGCTCAGATGGTGCCCCAGATGTAATACGGTCGGACTTTCTTTGCTTGGCCCCAAATATGACAGTTCAGCTACGATTCCTCATAAATCTAGCTGCATATACTAAAAGAAATCTTTCGTTTCAGACAAGAAAAATCTTCTGATATCCATTCATTGGCCTCACTGGCACACAGCGAGTCATCTACATTTGTTCCATAGAAGTTAACAAAACATTATCGTGTTACACCATAACGAATTACATAATAACACGAACGATATATTTGGGAAAAACTGACATACGTTGAAATAAACAAACCATGCTTTTCTCAATGATCTCACATCAATATAATCGTAGAATAACCGTACGACCAATTCCGGAGAGAAAATATGCAGTACCGAATAAAAAAGATCGCAAAGCACAAAATCTACTTTAGAAAGGCACAAGGCACTGCACTCGACGTACTTGCGGCTCGGTAACGATGGTTTACTGACAAGAGGGTCGTGCAGACACATTATTTATATGTTGCGTCCGGTAAACCCTTAGCGTTATTCAATTAACTGTTGGTTAATCGCGAGTCAATCAGAAGGCAAACGCCGCTTTCGGAACTTTTCGCAATGACGGTATCCACAGCTTGAGCCACTGTTATTTATTAGATCTCAGTGGTCGAAAGGATGGAAAGGTGACAACATAAAACAGCGAAGATAATTCTTCTAGTATCATTTGAATCAGTACTATCTATTTCCCAAATAATATCTATATTTCATACGTGCGTATCGTCTGAAACTAACATGACTCACGTCATTGCGTAGGCTTTAATAACATTTCGCGCGCAGGTGTTAGGGTCGGACGCGTTTGAATTACGACACGTTTGGGAGCTAAATCCGCTATAAGTTTATTTCATCTTATTTTGGCTGAGTATGAATGGAAACGTTTGCTGGATGCTGGACGTTGATCGGATGGTGCCCAACTGTGCTGGAGGCTTTTTCGCCAGTTTGGTTCTAAGTGAGATAGGTATTTAGATACCCCGAAATGGCCGAAAGCCAACTTCATTTAGGGTTCAACGTTTAGCCTTGGCGGACTCTGCTGTTACGGAGATCACGTATGTTGATCGTTCGGCTTTGATGTAAATACTGCTTTGCTTGCACCTATGAGCATATTTATGAACCTGGGATCAAAAGCTATTCGATCACTGGGAACTAAGCACGTCATTGCCACACAGACGACCTTTAGCCCTTACGTGTGTGTTCTGATTGAGGTTTAGGGCGCCCGTAGTTACCCGGCCAAGTTGACTCGCACCACCGTTAGTTCTCCTACAATGGCAAGCTCTACTTCAGCATCGCACATGATTAAGTGTCCGGCCAATAAACTGGCACTCACTGCGCAGTAAGTACTATTCTTACTTGTACTAGCACACCCTCTGTGTTTAGAATTTTACGTCCCGTATCGTCGTCAGGCGATACTGAGCCGGCTGCCGCAAGGATACTATGAATAACCGATCGGTAAATAGAGATTTGCCGAATGGTATTTTTAGGTAGTTTGAATAGCGTATCTTCCATATGTTTTACCGCATTTATTGCGGGTAAGCTCAAGTGTACGTTTTGAAAAGAACATCCGGATAATTTCCAATACTGACCAGAAGGATACGTTTACGTTCGGCGAATCATTTTCTAACCATGACTTTTTCTCTCGTTAGGAGAAAGCTTGACCGAAGTGGCCAGATCGCACGCGTTTTTCTCAATCAATAATAGGCGTTGCGATCTTAATAGCCCTGATCCTTTAACGATAGCATAACATCGTAGTGCTGCCAAAATCAACCGCTACACGAAAACGGATTTCACACTTAGTCGGTCCACTGTCCACGACGTCCGCCAACTCAAGTACACCGTCCACATCGAACTTATCCTACGGGAGTGAGGACCATAGATCGACCAGTGTGGTTATGGCCGCTAACGTAAGGAGCAGTTTAATTTAGAAATCAGTCAGTTAGTCAGCAATCAAGTTCAAAGATAGAGAGACGCTCATCTGAAGACAGTAGACTTTCGTACCATGTCCGACGTACTTCAACTGCCATGGAAGAATTCATGGAGTTCAAATTGGCAGTAGTTAAAAATGCATAAGTTAATTCACACGCAGTTGGCGAACAAACGAGATATGATGCTTTCCTGGAAAAGTTATTTATCGTTAATGGTTTCACGTATCACACAAATGGGAATATAAAATTACCAATAAGAGTAGGAAACGCACAATATTTCCGTATTGTGTATATTGCCTTAATTTGGATCGTGAGGCCATGTTAGTAGAAGACGTACTTTTCCCTTTGTTGCCTTAGGCCAGCAATGGTACCATCGGAGAGCCTCCAACGAGGTGGAAGCACCTCCTGTTTGCACGTCACTCGTTTGACTATAAAACACGCCAGCTTAGATACCTTATCTGTTGAAGGGTGCATATTACTCATTCGAAGTATAGATGTTGTGCAGGTTGATTTTTATAAATTATGCTTAATGAATCAGCTTATATTTCTTGTAGTTGATGCACGCCTGTGGATGGCACGGGTATGTCAGAACATCGGAATTGCACGGGAATATATCGGCCCCGTAAGGCGTACGTCCGCAACTGGAAGGAAATTGAATAGTACTCCGTTTTATGGATATGCGTTACGTATATATTCGCGTAAGCAAAAAATATGCATTCAACTAGGGAATATAGTGGATTTTCGGTTTACACACAGGTTCAGTTTTACCTATAAATACATTTTTCTCCTAAGCTTGATACGTATGAATTTACTTCTACTCGTAAGATTATTAATAACAAATTCCAAATTTCGTAACATGGCGCCTACAAGGGATCTTCTAAATCACCTGCTGTGTGCCGCGAACTGTTCAATGGCTACCACATCAATAAAACATCGAAGCACAAACGTCGTTTTTGAGGTTTCCGAAGGTACTGGCCAAAATCCGACGGGGTGTTCGGACTGAGCTTCCAGGAAAGACGTGCCTGAATTCAATTCGACATCACTTTACGTGCTTTCAACTGTCGGTGATGGACAGTCGTACGTAAATGAAGTCTTTACTGCTATATATATATATATATATATAATTGTCAAATGGAGAACGTCTCAGTTTTCTCGTGAATATCGGAACAAGTTTACTCCTTAGACCCACTAACGCCCCCCCAGTTAAAATTAAAAGCAATATTCAAATGGCTGCCGCTCTAATCTGCCAAGGGCGCTATCCTCGTCCGTGCTTGAACCAACATAATGACGGACGTCAGCATTTAAGACAATTTCGCATTTTGAATAGCGAAAGTAGGCTCCTTGCACCTAATCGCTCGTTGCTGTCGACTCAATGTTTTCTACGGAGCCTTACTCGTCGTTTTCTCCGCTACAATGACCACTCCTGTTGTACAAAGTACACTCGATCTAAATATCAGCAGACACAATGACTTCGTAAAGCAGACGAATAAGCGGCTATGAGATCTGTTGGTCTATGGCCTACAGGACCCGTACGGACGAGCCACGCAGTGACTTCTCGGCTAACGGGTAAACGAATACACGACCATAACATGGGACGCGAAAATTGGCGACACAAACTGTCCAATGCCGTTTGCCAACGAGATACTCATCTTGATAACTACATTAAATCGAAACAGTAAATATAAACAGGTTTATTGTTTGTTATTATGTAAATATAAACAGTTATTGTATATAACTGAAGTTTAATCTTGGTATAATCGAATAAAGTTAAATAACGTGACTCTGTCCTAACTGTTCTAAGTAGATAATGAAGCGGTTGTCTTTGAAAAATATTTGCACGATGAAATGAAACCTAGATGAGAGTCAAATTTTAACCTCTCATTTTGTATATCGTTTCTGGAAAAATACGTATTTATTTAAAAATGCACTTCTCCGAAACCCGAAAACCCAGGCTTATAAGCAAGGGTTCTATGAAATCAATTTCGAGTCGTCTACTGTTGGTACTGTTCCCTCTATGGTTATTTGCACGATGCCTGAGCCGGTATGTTCACGAATGCTTTGACTTCGGCCATTTTGTGTAAGAGCTATAACTGCGGAACACGTACGGTACATTTCATCAGCAAAACAACTTTCTTTCAATAAGTACCAGTTCAGACTCAATGATTCGAACTTAAGTCACATGGGAAACCACATACCTCACGCTCACTGCCGTTAGGTACCTTTGCCAAAGATCAACTATTTTTTTTTATCATCCGTATGCCTCTTGAGTTATAATACGCATAAATCTGTAAGTTTATTCCTCTCTACTTTAACTAGGTGACGCTAAGATTTTACCGTTTCTACTTGTCAGGCCGCAGATTGGCATTTGAAGCAATTGACAAGCCGAAGCTACGGCGGCACATAAAGCCATGGAGCTATTGGAGTCCAATGTAGGAAGGCTGTTTGGCCACACTTCCTCTAACTAATGGCACAAAATAAACGACACGGTAATGAACGCCACGGTTGGCTAACCACGATCTACGGACCGGACACAACGAAGATATCATCATGAGTAAAACGCTGGTTCTTCTTAAGAACAGGCTTTCTCTATTTAAAAAAAAAAACCGAAAAAAATTTAAAAGAGCCTTCAAGATTGGAAACACTTGATTGACAAACCCAATTATGAACTTTGCCTCAACTATAAATGTACTTAGTTGACTGCATCCAATGAGTAAATCATACCTCGTCGTCGATCACTAGTCAATAATGTGCCACCACCTGGGCTGGCTACATACAAGGCCAGATCTAAAAGATAACGATCAACAAATTTCTAATAGAATTTAACACCAGTTGTGACGATGCGATGCGCTATTGGGTTTGTCTTGAGCCCCGAGTTCAATAAATGAGTTTGGCCGGCAAGTTTTAAATAAGGATTCGGATCAGTGCACGGTAGCGTACTAGCCATTCCGTAAATACTGAAATTATATTTCCCCCATTGGTGGATCTCAAAGCAATAGGAGATACATAGAATAACCGGCGTAATATCATTGCTCTACAGATGCAGGCTGTGAACGCCGCTCCGTTGTTACAAACCGTTTCTGAAGCCATAATTAGATACTATCGACCCTTACTTACGACATATTATGGAGCATCTTATAAAAATGCCTTCGCTGTCAAAGATCATTGTAGCAGAACTAACTTTATCGTGCCTTCTATGCTGTAGTTAATAAAATATATTAAAAGGGGGGCTGATTTAACAATTTTAAATGGTAGCTCAGTCCCCATGTACGCTTCATGTACAATCGTATGTCGAAAAGTCAATTGCGCGGGCGAGATATCGGCCTGCTATTCAAGCACGCTTGAACGGTACGGGCGATTCGAACGAAAGAAGCAGAAACCTCATTTAGTTCATCCCGGGCAGTTAACGGAAAGACCCTGAAAAGTTCAAATTAAATTTGAAGTTCTTTTCAGCTGAATTATTTTCTACACCCACACACCTGCACCCCCCACAACCACAACTAAAAAGGTTCTACAACTTATTTGTCTATAAAGCAGTTATAAATATTAGCATAGAAGCAAAACAGGAATAAATACAAGAATAATGACTTACGTTCCAGGATATTGGGGTCATAATTTCGAAAAAAAAACAAAGCTTATAGATAGCCGGGCAGTTTTGAAGAGAGAGCAGTTTTAGTTAGAGCCTCGAAATGTTCGACTGAACAATTTAAACTTGACTGTTTCCTTTTTGCAGACAGTTTGCCGTTAGAAGTTCGTATATGCAACTCCGTTATAGACAAAACTAGTAAGAATATATCGATATGACATCGATATATTTTTACGCGCGTATTTAGGTTGCGTCACTTTTTCAGTCGTTACACATTGCATTCGTTCTCCAAGCTATTGCTTATATATATTCATTTCCCTGGTGCCGGCCGTCCACGGTCATGGAAATGGAATCCTCGGAAAGAGGCTTCTCAGCTAGACTTTAGAACGATTAAGAGTGGAAAGATCAGTATGGGTACCAAACGACCAAATAAAACAAAATTACTTTGTGTGTGCTATTTTTCGAAATAATTATCTTGACGTCTATTACCGCCGACGCTTTTCGAATGGACGAAATGGGACTACCTAACGTTCGTCGCTTGTGCTGCTCGCTAGACCAATGGCACTTCCATATCCTATGAACAACAGTAAACGAACGAGGATTTTGCAAATAGTAAACTCATTGCATAAATGTAGGACCTTTTTTATGTTTCGAAAACAAACTGTGATTAATCTTTGTCCAAAAAACGGATTTGATTAGAGTTATATATATACTTTTGACGCTAACGTAAACCAGGTTTCAAGGACTGTTGGGTTTGGTATGAAGTGCGAATTATGCGTTAGGAAAATCATGACCGTTCGTTGTAGTATTACGGTCGATTTCAATATGCAGACTTAGATCCACTTATTTTGGATTATTCATACAAAAATAGATTATCTATGGAGCACATCGGTGAAAAAAGCGTCAATTGAGTAACACAACGTGGCTTCTATGTTAAACATAGAAAAAAAAAAAACGCTGAAATTATTAAAAGCCCTTCCAGCGTGTTAAGGGCCTTTCCGTCGTAATAATAACGTCGCGTAATTCGAAATAGAAAATGCCCTATTCGATGCAAAGCTCTCAGGTTGCCCTCTCTGCTTTTATGGAAACTAGGTCACTGATAATAAATGATATCTATTGAAAATGCTGTTTTATTATGTAGTGTGTATAACTACTATGAGTAAAGAACTCATTGACATAGTACTTTATTGAAGGCCCTTGAGTTCAAGATCGTTCACGTATCGTGCCTCATCGCGTACGTATCATGCAGAATGCAGATGAGGTGCAATGTTACATTTCGCTCTGTCAGCATTAAAATAAAGGGATAATGCTGACGTTTAACAAAAAGAAAAGGCTCGGTATTCAATTTCGTTGGCATGTCCATGGTAATTCAAGGGCGTCGAAATCCCCAGGCCACAAGAGTAGGTATCAGAGTCAGATAGCTTCTATCACATAAGCACATTTTTATCAAAACCACTGGTCCTTGTTGAACCAGTTCCCTCAGGACATCTGTCGGCTCCACTGAAGCCTCTCCCAGATACAAGAGTTCTTATTTTTAATTAAATTATACAACGATTATTGTTTTCGAGACGAAGTGTTCCAACCTGACTAACACAAAGACTGATCTTATAACTAGCAGATTCTATCTATATCTTTATTAGCTTTTCCTATTTCGTAAATCAGAAACAAACCTTAGCTTAAGAGGTAATCAAAATAATGTTCAAAGGATAATTTCAACATAATTAGTATATAACAAAAATAGAGTATGCAAAATCGTTCAAGTTTTTTACTTATTACTACTAATTTTCACTTGAAAAAAAAGTTAAAACTTGTTTAGATCAAGCAAACGTGTTAAAGTTGAAGAACTTCTTTAGATCAATTAGAACATTCCTCTAACTTTATCAATAAATGTAATTCATTGTTTTACTTTACTACAGTTGTCCCGTTCAGAGTAATCGTGGGCAGCTATCATAATAGATAAAACTATTGAAAGGAAGCTACTTCCGTTTTTCCTTTAAACCTTATTGTAACCAACACCGATGCGGGCGCCTAGGCGTTTTACACAAGTGGCATTCGAGTTGAAATATTTATATTTCAACTCGAATGCCACTTGTAGAGTAGTCTTATGATTGACTTGGTCAATCATAGGACTACTCTACCCGTACTTCTAAGCTTTGCATTGAAAACGTAGGTCGTGTCATCTAACATTCACTTACCTAACACCAAATCTTGTTTATTATTTCCTTCGACTTATGCAATTTGAAGCTCGCTTTTTGAATCTACACAAATATGGTCTACCGGTTTTTTACTGCCGTCCTATATTCCCTCTCTACTCCCGTAGACTTAATAATGCTCGACAGTTTTGTACAGGATTTACTTGAGAAGAGCTTATGTGTGAACTCGAAAAACGTTGTTCCTAATTGGAATCTCTCGAAAGTTTTGCTATACTTTTTCGATGTCTTAGAAGCCTCACTATTAATTAAAGTCTCTTGTGACGTAAGGATGACACAGCAGCTACTTTTTTTTTTTTTAACTAGGACACTATTTTAACAGGCCCAGTTCGATAGCATGGTTGTTCTTCTTTACAAAGCGTTAACTTCACTGTAACGCAAGTAGGTATATATGTGTAGCACTCGGTGCCATTGGCTGGGCAGCAACGATGCGGGATGATCCATGAGACGTATGTTCAAAGTCCATAACCTGTTGCCCATTGCACCACTCAAATTTACGCTTAATGGATTTGAGGCAAGCTTCACCCAAAGGTTCACACTTTCTGAACGCGCCTATTCGCTTGAAGAATTGACTTATTTGACCCGTAGATAAGGACCTGCTCTCGCTAAGCGATAATTGCTCTACACGGCCTTCAATTTCGCAAACATAATTGGCCACGTAGTCCTGTAGGGGGATACGAGGTGTGCTAAATACTTCTAATGCTATAGAATGGTGATGACAAAAATTGGTAACAAAACAAGCTAATACGCCCATTGATGC